ATATCATTGAACAATTATTTCACTGACAAAGAAAAAAGTAAGAGATAAAGGTTACCAGGTCACCTGTGGTGCATTATTAGATCCATGGGGAGTGCTATTGGCATTTTGTTGCTGGATCAATCTATCAAGAGTTTGTTGAATTATGTCTAGACGATTTGTTAGATCTTCCACTTTCCTATCAGATTCCCGACGAGCTTCTATCTCCATTTGAAGCCTTGTTGATGTGTACTTTCTAGCTCCAGGCATTTCCAAATCTGCTGGACTTGGCCCCAAACCCACAACACGAACATATCCATTCCTCTCTGCCCCACAAACATAGGAGTAAGCATCACCTTCCTGGATACTCTTGTCTCTCAGTTCAGGATTATCTCTAATTGCATCTTGAAGGGCATTCTGCAGCAAACAAATAAAATTAGCAAAATATGATGGCATGAGAAATTGTTGTGTTTATCACACTTACAATGGTTGTTGCAGCTCCTTTATGAGGTACTCCATTCTTGTGTGTGTGAGTTTTGATAAACAATTCATCTCTACGAGGGGGCGCCCTAGCTCCTCACCCTAAACCATATATATGTTATTGTAGTTACAAGATACGAATAAAGGGAAAACAAACTAAAAATAGACGTTGCATACCATTTCAGTACCAACACGTGTATGGCTCTTACTCCCAGTTGTATGATTTTGGGTCAGCTTTGAACGATTTGCTTTCCCCCTCAAAGAACGGGCCTACCAAATTATGCCATGTTCACAGGAAATATAGACATAGTTTTTCCTGATACTCAATTTTGTACCTCCTGAGATAACAACATTTGATTGGGCAGAAAAAAATAAATATTGTTCTCAAGATCTCAGGTAACTTACAACTGCCTCTGGAGTCCTCCAATGATCAATTAGCCACTTCCAGTCTTCCATATGAACTCTGGGATCACACAGAGCATACAGTTCATCATCTTCCATGTCATCATCATACACCTTTCTCAATTCTGCTTTAAACTCCTTCCACTTTATAGCTGCTGTCTTCATAAACCAATAGAAGACACCTTTGTCTACTTGCCAATATAGCTGTACACCACACAAATAGTAAATTAGGACTCAATCACATGAATTAAGGCAGCAAACAGTATGCAGTCATTCTCACATGCATGAATTTTCACATACCCAAGTCCTACACCTTTTGCCATTTTTTTAGCTGCACTAAAGTTTTTAGGAAGTGATGACTCTTCAGGTAAGACATCCTTAAGTAACTCTAGAAGCATGTCGACGCTTTTGTTACTCCATCGCCCAACAAACTTGATATGGAGTAATCTTATAATGAAACGTAGCTTCGAGTACTTGCAACCTGGATATAGTTCCTTGCCAGCATCTTCTACCATTTTGTAAAAAGCCTCCATATCCTCATCGTGCTGCTTTGGGTTGTTTATTTCTAAGTCCCCCATGACATCTAACCCCGCTGCTATGCCTTCAAGTAAACCAGAAATATCATCCTCTTCATTTGGGTTCCCTACTTCTGCCCTTTCATCGTGTCTGCTATTTGTGAAAAAACTAGAACTAGGTACACCATGATTCACCCATGTTACATATCCTTCCGTAAATCCCTCACATATCAAGTGCTCACGTACAATACTACCAACCCTCCAACAAGAGTTCTTGCATGCCTTGCAGGGACACAAAATCTGATTTTCTTTTGCTGAATTACTAAAGACAAACTCTAAGAACATATCCACTCCTTCTCTATACACAGGGGTATGCCTACATATGATTATCAACATATCAGACCAAACACCCTATGCATGTAGATTCTAGTGTATGGTCATAGGTTTATAATGTACCTAGGCTGATCCATCCATGTTTTATCCATGACACACCTTTTACAAAATGCAGTGTCAATTAGTGAAAGGAGTGACAATTAGTGAAATATATACACATCTGTTCTCATTTTAGAATGTGTTGTTCAACAAAAAAAAGGATCCTTTCAAAGAACTGTCCAAATGAAATTAATTCACCACACTTTGAAAACATCATCTCACCACAAGTCATGCACACTAACTTATACTTCCATTTGCAGCTTAAAGTTCAATTGATTCCCTTCTCTCACAGTTTTTATATATAGAACAAACACAACATGTTTTTTTCGCATAAATGACCAAAGTAAACTGACTATGAACTCCCATCAGTGTGAACTTTGCCATCATATTAGAAAAATGTTGCAGATCCAGCATAAGAGAACATACATGCAAGCTGATGGATTGTGTTGTGTGCAAGATCTTGAATCCAGCTAGTTCCTCTGCAAAATCAATTAAGACATTAAACATCACATTCACATCTAAATCAAGATGAATACATTCCTACAGAGAGGGGAAAGAGATGTGGATCTAGACTGAATGAAAGTTTGGCAACGGAAGTATAACCCAAACCTTGAATCTTTTAGCCTTTCTCGCCTTTGTCAGCTTTCTGCAACCAAGAAAAAAATAAGAAACAAAGGTGTGCCAAAACCCTAGAACGCAGGAGAATGGTGATGAGAGGAAGGGGATGTGGAGATGACGCACCTGGATGCGGAGGGGAATGGGGACGCGGCGATGGCACAACTCTTGCTGGCGGGCTGTGGGCTATGGCAACGGCGGGATTGGGGGCGGTGGGCTCAGGCAGCAGGGGGGCTGGGGCAGCACGTCCGGTGGAATTGGCGGCGGGGGCGGCAGGGCTCCGGCTAGGGACTTCGGCGGTGACGGGATTGGGAGGCGGGCGGCCGTGGTGGGCGGACAGCTCCTGGCGGCGCCTGGCGGTGGGCTATGGCGACGGCGGGATTGGGGGCGGCGGCCTCAGGTGGCAGAGGATGGGCAGCTCGTCTGTGGATTTGGCGGCGGGGGCAGCAGGGCTCCGGCTAGTGACTTCGCCGGTGGCGGGGTTGGGAGGCAGCGGTCAGGGTGGCTGGCCGTGGCGGGCGGACATCTCCTGCTGGTGCCCGGCGGCTGCTTTTTTTTGGGTCGCGTCTCACGTGAGTGGAAGGGGGCGAATGCAGAAGGGCAGAGGTAGCCTGTTTTACTGGGCTCAATATTTAGCATTTTAGTTGCCGCGCACGATTTGTTTTGGCGCGCAGTCTCCCGCTCACCCGAAATCTTTCTATTTTGCTTCCGCGCTTACCCCTTCCATGACACTTGGGCAGTCATTTGGTTAGGCTACGCCGACACATTTTTTGTCTTAACACTTTCGCCGACACTTCTTGGGTTGGAAGGAGCAACACCGACAGATAACGTGTTGTCTTACAACATGATTGCCGACAATTTATATGACACTGAAAATGTATACAATTGCCAACACATAATTTGTTGTCAAAATCTTAGATTTCCCAACACATGAGTGTAGGGAAAAGTAGGTCATGGTGTAGTGTTTTATTAAACCAAAGAACAGTACATCGAGTTGATAAACAGACTTTGGAACACTCCCTACCTCTGCCTGACCAAGAGGCACGCAACATAAAGGAAAACAAAAAAACAAATCTAATGACAATCAATCCGTAGACTAGACCGCCACCCAAACATCCAGGAATAGAAGACCTTCGCCACCTGCTCCAACTGTTGCGAGACCACTACAGCTATACCCTGCATATCCGACCGTCGGAGAATATCCCAAGAACGGAGTCGATGGATAGCTGCATATATAAACTGCAAAGGAGAATATTTTTTTCTTTTTAAAAACAATGTCATTCCTGTGCAACCATATAGACCAGGCAATCACTCCAGCTCCCAAAAGAACTAAAGACCTCAACTCTTTTTTTGACACCATATAGCCAACTACCAAACATATGCGATATACTTTGGGGTTTTGCTAAATTCAACGCTATGTGAGCAACGCTCTAGACCGATCGTGCAAAACGGCAATCGATAAACAAGTGTTGAATTGTCTCATCCAAAAGCAACAAGTTTTGTCTCCTTGCCATTTGCGCTTAATTAAATTATCCTTAGTTAACACAACACCTCACCTGAGATACCACAAGAAACTTTTAAACTTAAGGGGAGCTGAATGAGTGATACATATATATTTCTATTTATTAGCAATTATGAAAGTGTTTCCTTAATAAATATTATATCAATAATATAGACAATTCACTTTAAATTATAATAATACCCCACTTTCGGGGTGGGATGAAGAGAGGTGAGAGAAGATGAGGGAAATGGGTTGGTTGGCTGGGCCGAAGTCACATTTTGGCCATTGTTGTGGTAGGGTTGATGTTTAGGGCATTTTTGGTTCAAATAGATTTTATGTGCATGTAATGTTGAATTTGACAAAGTCAACCATTCAAATGAATATCCAATTAACCCAATTAGACTCCGGATCATTCATGCATGGTCCAACACACATCATATACACAAATTAATTTAGAAAATGAGAGGGTTGAGAATCAGACTTATGATTGGTAAACAATAACATAGCACAAATCTGCAGTTGTTACACGGCCGTGCCTCGAATAATCTTGTTTCTATTTATTTGTACGACGCAGAATACCTTTAGGGAGAACCTACTCTGTACTACTCTATATAAATTATATATATTTTTTAGAAACTCTATATAAAAGATTAATACAACAACACAAGTACACGACAGAAGATACCTATTTATTTAAGGAAGAAAAATTAGTTTCCGTGAATGTTAATTATCGAAGTTCAGAATTGGGGATTTCTATTATATATACTTGCACTTTGGTTTGAATGTTTGTCATGATTCATGGGTACAAAAAAGTTTCAGCATATAATACAAAAAGGTGACTAACTTAGGAGGAACTACCTGATTTTTCATTGAGAAGAAAAACAGACACCTAAATTCGAGTTGAAGAAGATTCAAATCCTAGGTGGTTGCGTGTATGACCACACCGTCTACCCAACCGGTTAAGTTAGACTCACTTCCTTCGGCATATATACAATACAACATGTGTCTAGTATTGGTCACTTTTGAAACAAGAACAAATGCGGCCAAATTATTCCTGACACTTGATATTACAGTGGCCATCATATATTCTGTATGGTGTAGCAGAAATCATGCAAATCTTGTAACTTGACTTCGTGAAGTGGCTTCAGGATGGCTGCTGGGCAGCTTCTGTTTGTTAGTGCTTGGCACACCTGCTGCATTGTTGGCCGGGCTTTTGGACAGATTTGCAAACACCCAAAGGCAACAAGAAGGAGCAGAATGATATCCCTTTCTTCATTGCCTTTTGGCTGTACAATGCGCTTGTCCAAGATATCTTTGAGCTTTGTATGCTGCTGCGTTTGGCAAAAGAATGGAAGCAGAAGATCTCCTGGATGCTTTCCCATTGCCAATTCCATGACAACCACACCAAAGCTATATACATCACACTTCTCTGTTAATAACATTGTAGATGATAATTCTGTGACAAAAAAAAAAAAAATAGAAGAATCAAAATCAGGATATATCCTTTAATACTCATCAGTACATCATGTAGCACTATAATAATTTTAAAGGATTAAAACCATGTACCTGGTGCCATATAGCCGCATGTCCCTGCAAAGATAGTACTCGAACTTGAGGAAATATGCTTCAACTTCCTTGCCATGCCAAAATCTGAGACATAACCTTTAAAATCATGGTCTAATAAGATATTACTACTTTTGATGTCACGATGTATAATGGGATCATCACAGTCATGGTGCAAGTATGATAGAGCTTGAGCTACATCCCTCACAATTCCAACTCTTTTGGGCCAATCAAGCTCTCTGGCAAGCTGTTCCTCATGAAGAACTGATGCTAAACTTCCCCTTTCAATGAGATCGTACACAAGAGATCGTACACAAGAAATCACTATGCATCGATGCCTTGTTTTTGTTAACACGTCAATCTCAGCACGAAATGTTCCTTCATCAGTGTAGTCGTCTTCCATTGCATGGAGCAGCTTGACTGCGAAGACACTTCCTCCTTGAAGCTCAGCTCTGAAGACAGACCCGTGTCCTCCAACACCAATGCAATATTTTTCATCAAAGTTTTCTGTTGCATTAACTATGTCTTGGAATGCAATCTTTCCGTTGAAATTGCATATGGAAAACATGTCTCTAGGCTTGCTTCTGGTCCTGCATTCTGCAATTTTTCTCCTCCAACAGAAGGCCGCAATGCTTCCTGTTACCAGAGAAATGAAGCCAAAGAGACCAAAAGCAAGAAGTAGTGCCAAAATAAGGCGTTTATTATGTCTTTTCCCCTCGTCGTTTCCATCAAGCCCTTGTGCTCCACAGGGTGTTAAGCCATACCGTTGATCACCACAGATATCAATATTGTGGTCAAGAGAAACTAAGGCTGAAGGGACAGATGTGCCCCCAAATTTGCCACCCAAACTGTTGAATGACAAATTCAGGCTCTGTAGTTGGTAAAGCTGCACAAGAGTGACCGGGATGGTGCCACTTAGATTATTTCTACTGAGATCCAACTCATACAGGCCAGTACACTCCCCAAGATCTTGTGGTATTGGTCCTGTCAGTAAATTGTCTGATACCCGCAGCTGCAACAGGTGGTGACATTGTCCTATCTGAGGTGGAATGCTTCCTGTAAATCGATTGCTGCTTAAATCCAGATGCGTGAGATTAACTAGAAATCCTATTTCTGGTGGCAGCAGTCCATTAACCTTGTTGGAGGCAAGCACAAGTTTTTTTAGAGATCTCAAATTCCAGAAGGTGGAAGGGATGGAGCCACGTATTTGATTGTTGGAAAGGTCGATTAATTCTAGCCTTGTTAGGTTCCCAAAGCTTCCAGGAATGGAGCCACTGATGCTATTTCCAAGCAGATGTAGGAATGACAACCTATGCAGCATTCCTAGTTCATGTGGAATGTCACCCGATAAACTATTGAAGCTAAGGCCTAGGAAATCCAACGTGGTTAGATTTCCCAAACTAGGAGGTATTGGGCCAGAAAAGCTGTTACGGCACAGATCAAGCTTCTTTAGATTGTGTAGCATGCCAAGTGCAGAAGGAATGTGGCCGTTTAGGAACTGATAATTCTGTGAGAGATCCAGGGAAGTGAGTTCAGTAAGATTACCTATGGATGGTGGGATCGGTCCTGACAGGGAATTGCTTGAGAGATCCAATAAAGTGAGCTCACCAAGCGTACCGATGCTTGGCGGGATTAGCCCTGAGAGGTTGTTGTCGTTGAGGTCGAGATGGGCAAGACGAGGCAAGGACACAAAGTCCAGCCCATCTAACCGGCCAGATAGGTTACACATGGGAAGGGAGATGCTGGACAAGACTGGGACGACAGCGGCATCGTCGTCGTCACGCCAGCCACGAGGCACCGTGATGCTGCAGACGACGCCAGTCCTATTGCAAGGGTTGGTGCGATTGCTCCATGACTTGAGGCAGCCTGATATGTCAGATATCGTTATCACAGACGCGTCATTCACTGGTTGATCGAGAACCACATGATACACGGTTACCTTGACTAATTGACTCAGTAGTTGATCGAGAACCACATGATGCACGTTATCACAGACGCGTCATTCACTAGTTGATCGAGAACCACATGATGCACGGTTACCTTGACTAATTGACTCAGCAGTAAGTCGTACCATATGTCACTAAGCCAGATTCTTACATTAGAAACGGAGTTATTTTTACTGTAGGGGCGGCTGGGGTTAGAGGCGCCCCTACAGTGGGCGTTCTCGGGCTCCAGCAGCCCAGCCGCCCCTACAGATGGCACTATAGGGGCGGCTGGTAACCTGAGCCGCCCCTACAGTTGAGGCTGCTCTGTAGGGGCGGTTCAATCACCAGCCGCCCCTACAGTTAGACTGTAGGGGCGGCTCAATCACCAGGCGCCCCTACTGATGACGTACGAATAAATTTCAAATTTTAAATTTTAAAATGTGTAAAATATTGTCACATCCAAGTTTGATCAAACTTAAATGTTGAAACATGATTTTAGAAATTTTTAGAAAAAAAAACCATCACATTTAGAGTTAGTATGAGGGAAAACAACTAGTTACAAAGTTTACCCGCAGATTAAAAAGAGAAATCACACTGTTCTAGATGATCCTTACATGATCATAGTGAACAGTGTGATTTCTTTTTTTAATCTGTGGATCAACTTTGTAACTAGTTTTTCTTCCTCGTACTAACTTCAAATCTGATGATTTTTTTTCCTAAAATTTTCTAAAATCATTCTCTATCAATTTATTTTGTTGGTTTTGTCAATATACACAAATGAAAAGTTTGAGCAATTTAAATTTTGAATTTCAAAAAAATACAACTTCAGACAAGATTTTGGTACCCCAAATGATTTCAGCTGAAAAAGTGATAAATACCAAAGTTGAATAACTCATCAAGATCTACAACTTTTGTGTTGGTCATTTCTTCATATGACAAAGTGGTAATGACATTGTTCACAAGTGTGACACATCTCTCGTAAGGTTTTATAAACTATATGAGACATGTGTAAGATTAGTGAACAATATGTGCTAAGAATTTATCAAATGAAAAAATGACCAAAATAAAAGTTGTAGATATTCATGAGTTGAACAACTTTGGTATTCATCACTTTTTATGTTGAAATCAATTGGGGTCTCAAATTTTGGTTCGAACTTGTCGTTTTTCAAAATTTCAAATTTGAAAGGTTCAAATTTTGTCAAATGACAAGATGACTAAAATAAAAGTTATAGATATTAATGAGTTGAACAACTTTGGTATTCATCATTTTTTATGTTGAAATCATTTTGGGTCTCAAATTTTGGTTCGAACTTGTCATTTTTTAAAATTTCAAATTTGAAAGGTTCAAATTTAAAGTCAAATGAGAAGATAACCAAAATAAAAGTTCTAGATCTTGATGAATTGAACAACTTTTGTATTCATCACTTTTACATCTAAAATCATTTAGGGTTTAAAATTTTGGTTTGAACTTGTCAAATTTCAAATTTAAAATTTTAAAATGCATAAAACATTGTCACATCTAAGTTTGACCAAACTTAAATGCTGAAGAATGATTTTAGAATTTTTTAGGAAAAAAACCATCATATTTGGAGTTAGTATGAGGGAGAACAACTAGTTACAAAGTTTATCCCACAGATTAAAAAGAGAAATCACACTATTCTAGATGATCCTTACATGATCATAGTCAACAGTATGATTTCTCTTTTTAATCTGTGGGTCAACTTTGTAACTAGTTTTTCTTCCTCATACTAACTCCAAATCTGATGATTTTTTTCCTAAAATTTTCTAAAATCATTCTCTATCAATTTATTTTGTTGGTTTTGTCAATATATACATATAAAAAGTTTGAGCAATTTAAATTTTGAATTTCAAAAAATGCAACTTCAGAGAAGATTTTGGTACCCCAAATGATTTCAGCTGAAAAAGTGATAAAAACCAAAGTTGAATAGCTCATCAAGATCTACAACTTTTGTATTAGTCATTTCTTCATATGACAAAGTGGTAATGACATTGTTCACAAATATGACACATCTCTCATAAGGTTTTATAAACTATATGAGACATGTGTAAGATTAGTGAACAATGTGGGCTAAGAATTTGTCAAATAAAGAAATGACCAAAATAAAAGTTGTAGATATTCATGAGTTGAACAACTTTGGTATTCGTCACTTTTTATGTTGAAATCAATTTGTCTCAAATTTTGGTTCGAACTTGTCGTTTCAAAATTTCAAATTTGAAAGGTTCAAATTTTATCAAATGACAAGATGACTAAAATAAAAGTTGTAGATATTAATGAGTTGAACAACTTTGGTAATCATCACTTTTTATGTTGAAATCAGTTTGGGTCTCAAATTTTGGTTCGAACTTGTTATTTTTTAAAATTTCAAATTTGAAAGGTTCAAATTTAGTCAAATGACAAGATAATCAAAATAAAAGTTGTAGATCTTGATGAGTTGAACAACTTTGATGTTTATCAAATTTTCATTTGAGATCTTTTATTATCCTTGATATAAATACGATGAGATATAATCTGTTTTGAGTGTCTTTTTTTTAAAAAAAATCCGTGCGACCGTGCCCACTCCTTGCGCGGCAAAATTTCGCAAGTCGCTGTCGCTGGCCCGCGAAGGCGGAGGACATGGGGCCTTCCATCGCGTTCTGCCGTCCAGGTCATTTCCACGGCTGGGCCTCAAAAGGCAGCAGGCCTCGGCGGCCTTCTCGCGCGACTGGCTAGCAGCTAGCGGATAAAGAAGCTCTCCCTCTCGCTGAGCCCACCTACTCCCACTTGCATTCACCCGACTCCGCTGCTGTCCCTCTCCCCCACGGGGGAGCGATAAACCCTAGGCCTCGCCGTCGTCGGAGGCGGCGCCGCAGGAGGACCCGCGATGTCGCACTTCGGGAGGTCGGGTCCGCCGGACATCCTTGCGCGAGCCTTCTCGCTCCTCGTCCTCAACATCGCTTTTCGTGAGCGAGGCCTAACCCTAGCCCCTTCAGCGCACATGCGCTGCCTCTTCTAATCGCTTGCGTGCGTTGCGGGCGGCGGGGGGTTGCTTTAGGTTTCGGCGGTGCGGTCGCCGTGTAGGCGGTGGTAGGGTTTTGCCATGGTGGAGAAGGGCTGCCTCAAGCGGCTCCAGAAGGAGTACCACGCGCTCTACAAGGTGAGCTCCGGTTGGATTGGGGTCGATTGGTGCGCGTTGCTTTGATTCGGCTTCGTCGTGGCTCGATTTCTAACGGTTGGTTTTGGTTTGGCTGGATTGCAGGAGCCGCCGCCGTAGATCATGGCTCGCCCGCTGCCCAATGACATATTGGAGTGGCGTGAGTAGCCTCCTCCGCTGACCCTGCTACTTGTAGATTCGATTCGTTGCCTTTTGGTTGGCTAATGTTTGCAGTGAACTGGGTGTGATTGGTTGATTGTGCTCAATTTTGTCGGAAGCGATGGTGTAGGCATAACGGTTTAGGCGTAACGCGTAAAGCGTTACGTTCATGTTGGGTTTTTCGAAGTTTCTATATATGTGTGGTTGCTCCGTGCATTGCGTGATGTGCTCAGCTCATCAGCTCACTGCTTACTGTTCCTGAGCAATGCGTGCTGCCTAGCAATTTATTGTTTAAAGTTCAATTTGTCGGATGTGAGCCTTAGTTCTGTATATTGAGGTGAATTGAGTATACTGTTTGCTCATATAGACTAGCTCCTGGCAGTACTACACATTAGCAAGATTCAAATTCTACTGCATGTTGTGAGGGTCAATCATTGTGCATATAGAAAGTTCAGTGCCAAGAATTCTGAAAATAGGAAACAATTGTGTAACTGATTGTTGTTTTGTTTCAATCTTTCTATCTGAAAATAGACAATAGTTCATCAAGGTGTTTGCATGGCATGCTTGTGGTGCAATGTACATTTGATGCATTGGTTAGATATTTGTTCAACAATCATTTGGATATCTGGTTTAGTCGCACTATTGCCTTATCTAGTCATGTGAGAGATTGTGCTTGTTCTGCTTATGGTGCATGGCTCTAGGACTAGGCTTTGTTGTTGTTGTTGTTGTTGTTGTATGTGATTGCTATAGGTGTCTATGGAAAGGTTAGAAGTTTGTACTTCTTAGGTATTACACCTTCTCTGAATTTGATGGTTGCGCTTTTAATAAGTGATGCATTTATCAGTGGCAACAGAATACCCCTGGCCCTGTATTTTTTGCCTCATGTATGCCTCGATGCTGAAGTGTCCTTACTCATTTGAAGCTTTGGTTTATAGTTACAATCTGTTTTATTCTTCAGATTATATTTAGAAGGCTCTGTATTTGTCATGCTTATCTTAATGCAATACCAATTTTCTTGCTTTCTTTCAGTGCTATATTTGCCTGTTTGGTACTGACTTGTGTTTTTCTTCTTTTAATGCCAGCCTATGTACTTGAAGGAAGTAAAGGCACACCCTTTGAAGGTAAAGATCATACATACTATACCGCATTATCTACTACATCCAATTTTTGTTTTGTTGCTTATAATCTCTAACAATGTTTTTCATGTTTTGATTTCCCACCTGTAGGTGGATATTACTATAGGAAGCTCAAATTCCCACCAGATTATCCTTGTAAACCTCCAAGTATCTAGTGCGGAAACCTTTAATGTTGTTAATACATGATAAATGTTTGTGTTTTAATGGCATGTTGCTTCTTATTAAAGTGTAAAGATTGAAAACTGTAACTAGAAGATTTTTATTAGATGTAGATTAAAATGCTAATTCTTTGTTTATGTTTCTAATTTATTTAATTGTTCAGCATGACAACCCCTAGCGGCAGGTTTGCGCCACACA